TGTAATCCATTCAACCTGGAGTTCGAATTCAGGAGCAGATTCACCACTTTGTCTAACGTTTGAACAGCTTAGGTGAAAACTATAAACATCTCCCCCCCTCCCCAACCTCAATTAGGATAGGCAATAACTTGCATCAGGCTATAAAAAGGCCTTGTGCCTCATTGGTGTGCTTTTTTTCCAACCCGTCCCTTCCCACCAGTGGGGCAGGGGACAGGACAGGACAGGGATGTGGCCTACTCAGATGTAGATGACAAACCGCCTGGAGAATTCTGGGAGTGGTAGTCCAAAATAATAAATCCACAGACCTCTACTCAGAGGTCAACTTCCTGTGCTCTTCACTCCAATTTCTCAGGTAAAGGAGGGTCCTGTCACTGGGATGTTCCAACAAGGGGAACGGATCCCGGGAGACCAGGTTGGCAGAAGTAGGCGTATTACCTGGTTTGTGACCTCTGCCTTAACAAGGAGCAGAGAAAAGATTAAGTGTACAGCTCTTCAACCCCTTGCACGCAATCACAGGACGTATCATTTCTCCCATTCACGGTATCTGAAGACAGCCGACCTGTCAAATAGATCAGTTGGGGGCACTTTCCTTAATTTTGTTTTCTAGGATCCACAGGTTTAGTTCAGCTTGTGGATCAAAAACACTGCAATAGCAATACTAATCCGGGGAATAAGCAAATCTAGTTAATGTGCTGTACAAAGCCTAGCAAAATTACCTGGTTTGTGTGTATATGGGATTCTGGGAGCTATAATCTCAAAACGGCCCCACTTTGACCCAATACAATCTCCTGCTATGGAGTGCCACGAGCAGGCCTATGCTGCCAGTGGGCTGTAGAGAGAAAGACTATAGAAGACCACCTATTTTCCTAAGTTTCAAAATGCAATACCACATTCCTCATAATGTCCAACCTCACCCTACTCAGATCACTACCAACACAGCCTCCTTGTTCTTCCCTAGAGAAGTTCCCCACCTTCCACCCCACCCTGGTTTGGACTTTTTTGCTTCCAAAAAAAAGGCCAACATCATCTACATGGCTTTGATGTTGCATAGCCAACAATCCTTCGCAAGGCACAGCCAAGGCATGGGTATTCCAGAGGAGAAAGCCATCTAATACTGTAATGTTAAGTTAGACAATGCTACACAATTTCCATAATATATGTAAACCGAAGGGATTCTTGAATAAATATACTCAGGGAGCATCTCGTCATTACATAAAGGGAAGTATCAAAAAGG